TTATCATCTGTAAATAACTCCTCCAAGGCCACTTAATAGATAAGTGGCAATGCCTGGGCAAAATATTAGTTTAAGGAATAATGCCATATTTCTTAAAAAGTGTTCCAATAAATTGAATGGAATGTCAAAAAAAAAAAAAAAAAAGGAATCCTAGTCTAGAGTTCTTCCCATCAGTATTTTCAGTGCTCAGAAACACTGCTGCCGAACTTCAATGTCATGAGGCAGGTCTCATTTCTACTGAAGTGTTGATCTATGTATTCTTCCATGCTCTTGGATTTTCAGGATCACATTAAAATTGCATGTGTGTTTGCCAGGAGAGTCCCCAGCTGACAGGGCCGAAAACAGGGCGTCGCCCAGGAATAAGAAACAAGATGATAGAGGAGAAACAGTGGGGTCAGGGGACTCGAGACTTTCCAGACCAAGAGTCCCAAGAGTAATTCCTCACTCGTATTTATTCATTCTAAGAACAAAAGATCATCCTAAATCATACAAGCAAACAATGTTCTATAGATATCCCACAGGCAAACAAGTTCTAAAGATTTCCAAAAAGATTACAATAACCAGGTACACATCATTCAGGTAAGCTTTAAAGATCACTGATTAAGATATCCAGTTGTACATTAACCTCAGCAAAGCTATTTCTAGCCTAAAAGAATATAAGAACATAAATCTTGGGATTGTGGCCAGGCTAGTTTTCCAGCAGGTTTGACGTTCCTGATTGGAGTCCTGGAGCAGTTTTCCACCCCAGGAGAGAAACTGTTTTCAGTTCCTCTTGCCCTTGGAATGTCCTTACCATTTTGAAAACAGCCACACCCATGCAGACTGTCATGTGCGCAGAGGTTTCTACTCCAGAAATCTCTCTAGGCCACCCCAACATTTCTAAGCTACCCCAACATGTGTTGGCCTAGTATTGGCAGTGCCTCTCAGCCATGAGTTATTTTTGCCTCCTTCTAGCTGCCCCCCACCGGGGACATTTGACCATGTAGATAAGCATTTTTTGTTGTCCCCACTAGGGTGGGGATGGGAAGTGCTATATGTGTGTAATGGTTAGAGGCCAGGGATGATGTGGAACATTCTGGATGCCCAAGACAGTCCCTTGCCACAAAGAATCATCCAGCCCCCAATTGCCAAGGGTACTGAAGTTAAGCAGCCTATATATACTAGAAAGGTGTGGAAAATATGCCGTCTCGTGGTAGCCACTAGCCACATGTGGCCCTTAACATCTAAATTATTCTAAATCAAATTAGAAATTCATTTAATCCCAGTAGCCACATTGCAATTGCTGAATAGCCACATGTGGTAGTGGCTGCCGTGTTGGATGGCAGAGAATTTAACATTACCTTCTCACGGGAAGAAAGTACTTAGAGAAAGGGCCCTGAAAGACCTTTACCACACTTTTCAGGAGGATTGGAAAGATGTTTAAAAAACACACTCAGTATGATTCAACTTGTGATCTTAAAAAGGCCAAGCTTTTGGTGGAGTGTGTTTATGTAATGAAATTATAAGTAGTTTTCATATTCTAACAGCTTTCTTCTATGATGCCCTCCTTACATACCTCAACTTCAAGTAGATTCACTTGTTTTTCTCTCCTCGGAAGTTTATTTAGGGTCCTTTGTTTTTCCTCTTTATATATTTCCCTAGCTTTCCTTCTTTTCTATTATAATTTTTCTTTTTTTTTCCCCACAGTGAGAGTTGGGCCTCAAATGTCTCCAGAAATGTGATCATTCCTAATTCAGGTCCTTGAACGTTATTGTTGCACACAGGAAATGTTGAAAGAATCTTTCAAATACAGTCTGTAGAACTGGCCTTCAGACAGGACGTGGCTGGATGGGGCAGATGCAGTTTGGGTTTGAAGGCAGGTGTGAGTTGAAATTCTGACTCTGCTTATGCAGGTGGCACTGGTGGAACACGTGAGCCTTTGTCAGCCCTGGTGGTAAAAAGGCAGATCCGCTACCTCATTGTATCATCCTGGAGATTGTGAAAGCTGTGTAAATACTTCCTCAGAACCTGGTAGAAAATCAGGCCCATAAGATGTGACGGTGTTTATGTGTAGGTGGGGATGATGTAGTTGTTGTTCCCGACCACAGGAGGTATTGTCATCACCTTCCAAACTGAAGTGCAGACCCGATAAAGCCCTCCCATTGTGTATTCTTCACACCACATAATATGCTGCCATGTGCGTGATCTCCTACAGCTTGTGAGTTTCACAACGTACCCATAGTAGGCACCACAGTTTCACCTTTGTTGAAGAAACACAAAACTCAAGGAGGTTCTTTCCTTCCCAAGAACGTGTAGCCTTTGAAGAGCAGTAACAGTGCTTAACACAGGTCGTTTAAGTTCAGGACTCTTTCTGTAGAAATCCATCATGTTTTCAAACATTCTGAGGTTTTTGCCGCTGTTTTTCACTTGCCTAAAGTATCTTATGTGAAGAAGAATATTCCTTGCACATGGTAAATGCAATGTAACAAAAGGGTATTGCTAAAATGACATGTAGTCAGGCCTGAAGATAGATCCTCCCATGGGTGCTTCTGTCTTTATCTCCTTCCTCAGTAAGGTTAGGGCTGTACCCATTTAATTCCCTTAGTGAGCAACCAAACATATAGCCAACAGGATCCTCACGATGTCAGGGGGTGGCATTTTTAGCAGCTGGAAACCTCAGACGACTGATTGATTAGGAGAATCCATTGTTCTCCCCAAAAGGTTAAGGCAGTAGTACCTCCTGTCACACATAGCTTCTGTCTGTGGGTGTCAGGTCATATCTCTCCCCTACATCCAAACAAATCCAGTAACAATTATGCAGGGGTATAGAGGCAGTCCCCCACATCTCTGGTCCATTAGCCACCATTCGCTTGCAGAAAACAAAAATCATACCAGTTATTTAAAGAAAAAAATAATTTTATAGGGGAGTTTAGTGTTTCCAAAACTTTTGGAAGGGCTCAGGAATCAGGCTCTAGGCTGTCGCTCCAGAAATGATTCCAAGAATGGCACCACCAGTGGGCGGCTAACTCTTGTGCAGTTAGGAACGTGGGAGATCAGAGGGCCATGCCTAGAACTGGGACTTTAAAAATGCATCACTGTAAATATATAAAACTATTATGTACCCATAATAATTTTAAAAATAAAATGAAAAATACACCACTGTAGCTATGATTCCAGGAGGCTCCCCAAGGAGCTGCTTCTTGAAATCCGTGACTACAGCAACTGGAAACTACGATTCTGTTATAGAAAAACCCAGTGTCCCTGCAAGCATGGTGACAGGAAGCAAAACAAAGTCAAAAGATACACTCCACTTCCCTTCTATCTTCCAGTGTCCTGAGAGTGTATGTAAATTGTAGGACTTAACCTATACCTTCGATCTTAGCTGCAAGGGATTCTGAGATGGGTAGGGCTTTGTTATTGTTTGGTTTTTGTTTGTTTTTTTGTTCTTTACATAAAAAGGACAAGCAAGCTCACCAGAATAAAGTTGGGATGAATACTAGAGGCCACTCTGTCACAGCTACTGAGTCTGTTTTCCCTGCTGGAGCAGTCCCTGTGGCAGGTCCTCCTTCTGTAGATTTTCACATCTATTCCATACACGTAAAACCTGTATCTATGTCTAGAGCCCTTGTTCACACAAATGGGTAAATGCTATAGATACTGTCTTATTCCTAATCTACATAAAGAGATTATTTCATATTTTTAATATCTGTATGATGGTTCATACAGATGTGACACAGTTCATACAAAGAACATATATAATTGTTTTACTCATAGTTGTAACAGTTGTTTTCTAGTTTTTTGCTATCATAGCAGCAGTGAATAGCCATGTGTGTCTAGAGCAGGGGCTCACAGGCTTTTTCTGCAGAGGGCCGTATAGTTTACGTTTTAGAATTCCTGGGCCATACAGCCTCTGTTACAACTACTCAGCTCTGCTATTGGATCGAGAAAGCAGCTGTAGACAACACACAAATGAGTGGCATGACAGAGTTCTAATGAAGTTGTATTTACAAAAGCAAGCTGTCAATCACCTTTGGCCTGTAGGCCACAGTTTACAGACCCCTGAGAAGATACATTTTTGAGAAGAAAAATTTCAGGATCAGAGAATATGTGCATGTATGTTTAACTTCAATATGTCATTGTTTCTTGTTTTTTTTTCCTTTCATCCTCACTGACTCAGGACACACAAAGATGTATCAAGATCACATTAAGAAGAAATTCGGCAATCTATGGTCCAGCAGATCTGTCGCTGGTTTTTATGGATACTTTCGCTCAGAAGTCAGACAGGAAGAACGTGAACATTTGGAACTCATTTTTGCTCCCAGGGAAACAGGGAAACAGCCGTACACATTGGTCTTTCAAGGGATACAAGGAACTGGAAAAACAACATTTCTGTTAAAGGCAATGATGACCTGGTCAGAGAGCAGCGTCTATCAGGATAGATTCCTGTATGTGTTCTACTTCTGCTGCCGAGAACTGAAGCAGTTGATGGAGACAAGCTTGGCTGAATTGATTTCCAGGGACTGGCCCAACCATTCTGCTCCTATCACAGAGATCATGTCCCAGCCAGAGAGACTCTTGTTCATCATCGACAGCTTCGAACAGCTGAAATGTGACTTGAATGAACCCGAGTCAGACCTGTGCGGTGACTGGATGAAAACACAGCCAGTGCGGGTGCTCGTGAGCAGTCTGCTGAGGAAGAAGATGCTCCCAGCGTCCTCACTTCTCATCGCAGTGACACCTCAGTGCCCAGTGGAACTTCAGGAGCGGTTGGTGTGTGCAGAACTCCTAACATTCCCAGGCTTCAGTGAGAGTGACAGGAAGCTCTATTTCTGCTGTTTATTTCAAGACAGGAATAGAGCCATGGAAGCTTTCAGTTTTGTAAGGGAAAACGACCAGCTATTTATCATGTGCCAGATCCCCCTCCTCTGCTGGCTTGTGTGCACCTGTGTGAAGCAAGAGATGGAGAAAGGCAAAGATCTGGCTCTGACTTGCCGACGTACCACCTCTCTGTTTGCCTCGTTCGTGTTTAACCTGTTCACACCCAACGGTGCTAATTGTCCAAGTCAGCAAAGCCAGTTCCAGCTGAAGGGGCTGTGCTCCCTGGCTGCAGAGGGCATGTGGACCGACATGTTTGAGTTTAGTGAGCAGGATCTCAGGAGAAATGGGATAGTTGACTCGGACATCCCTGTATTGCTGGACACAAAGATTCTTGTGAAGTGCACGGAGCACTCATACATGTTCATTCACATGAGCATCCAGGAGTTCTGTGCTGCCATGTTCTACTTGCTAAAGAGTGATGGTGTCCATCCTAACCCAGCCGTCAGATGCAGAGAGACACTGCTCCTTACCTATTTAAACACAGCAAGGAAAGCACATTGGATTTCTTTGGGGAGTTTTATATTTGGTTTGTTAAACAAAAAGGAACAACAAAAGCTAGATGCATTTTTTGGCTTCCAACTGTCCCAGGAGATAAAGCAGCAATTTTACCAGTGCCTGAAGAGCTTAGGCGAACATGAAGATCTTCAGGGGCAGACAGATTTCTTGGCGTTGTTTTACTGTCTGTTTGAGATGCAGGACGAAGGCTTTGCAAGGCAGGTCATGAACTTCCTCCAAGAAGTTAACTTTTGTATCGTTGAAAACACGGACTTGAAGGTTTGCGCCTACTGCTTGAAATACTGTTCTGGCTTGAGGAAAGTTCGGTTTTCAGTCCAAAACATCTTTAAGGAAGAGAGTGGACGATGCTCTATGTGAGTCCATCCAATGACTTTCCTTTTATCTCCTTTTCAGAATCTGCCCATATTCTCACGTGGGTTTTGATAGTGCAGTGTTTAATAAGAGGGTCATGGTAGGAATCTTGCCTTTCCCGTCTAAAAAGCTTTAGTCCAAGTCCCAGCTTGACTCTTCAGAAGCTGTGAGACTTGTCCTTTCTTAGCTGCCTCATCTCAAAAGTGGGAATAATATTAACAACTGTATTGTGAGGATTGAATATGAGAGTCTACATGACTCTTACTCCTGCCCTTCTCGAAAATCAGCTCATCAGTCCTTATAATTAACACTTTCCTTGTTCTCACAGGACCATGCTCAGGCTCTTTCTTGTCCTTCCAACTACAAATTGCCATTTAAAACTAGTTCTGAAAATTGTACAAATTTTAGCTCACTTAATACTCATAAAAATCTTATGGGGTGGATTCTATTATGATGCTACAGATGAGGAAACTGGGGCAAAGAAGTCAAGCAAGCTGCCCAAAGTGGTATAGTTGGAGCCTGGGGCATCTTGCGGAAGACTCTGGCTGTGTTGTGCTCCCTCATCTTTTACTGGAAAGCTGCCTGGATATAAAGCAGGATTTCTCAGTCTCAGCACTGGTGATGTTTGGGGCTGGCTATCCTGTTTTTGTGGGGGCCATCCTGTGTATTGCAGGATGTTCAGAACATTTCTGGCCTCTACCTACTAGATGCCAGAAGCATCCCTCCCCCAAGCGGTAACAACCACAAGGACCTGCGGACAGCGCAGGCATCCCCTGGGGCCCTTGCCACCCCAGGTTGAGAACCACTAATATAAGATGAGCGTACTCAACTGACCCTATTCTCCCTGAGTAAAGGAGGCTCTGTCTCAGATGTCTTCTGTTCAGGAAAGCAATGTGTTATGCTTACATGTTGTGAGTGGCTCGTGTTGAGTGGTTTCCCATGGAGAGCTTTTTCTTTCTTCTTGATCACAGGTCAGGTCGCAGCCTCATCCATTGGCATCATGTTTGCTCTGTGCTCACGACCAATGAGCACCTCGAAGAATTCCAGCTGGTGGACAGTAACCTCAATGAGTCAGCTCTGGTGGCTCTGTGTAATCAACTGAGACATCCCAGCTGCCGCCTTCAAACGCTAGAGTAAGTTGAAGATCAGCCTTGACTTGAGAATATCGTGGAAATAACAAATTTGTCTCGACCAAGTTAGCTTTGGGTCGAGGCTAACTGTATAAGCAAAGAATTAGAATCTAGAGTAGAGTTTCTCAACGTCAGCACTTGGTGACATTTCATTCCAGATCATTCTTTGGGGAGGCGGGCTATTCTATGTGTTGTAGGATATTGAGAAGCATCCCTGACCTCTGCCCTCTAGATAAGCAGCTTCCTCTAATTGTGACAACCAAAATTGTCTCCAGACATTGTCAACTGTTCCTGGGGGGAGGAAAACTGCCCAGGTTGAGAAGCACTGAGCTATGTAATTGGTCATGAAATTAGAGAATGAGTTAATTATGGATGAAAAGACATAGTCAAAGAAAGGTATTCAGGCTTCATTAGATGAAACCCATCCACAATTGTCTTTGTTTTGCAGGCTTAATACTGTTTCCTTTTCTGGTAAGAGTCTGATTGTCTTTGAGATGCTTTTTGACAGCCCAGATTTGAAACACCTGAACCTCATCAGCATAAAACTCTCCCGTGAGGACGTGAAGCTGCTCTGTAGAGCCTTGACCTATTCAATGTGCAACATAGAAAAGCTAGTGTAAGTCTCCATGTTCATTATGATCACTGATGATTCTACAGAGGACTATATATTTTTAATGTGTCAACTTTTTCTTCTTTTCTGTTATCCCTATGCAAACTTAACCTCTTGGGAACTTCCAAATAAAATATGGAAGTTAAAGTTTCTCAGTTGCTATAAACACTGTGGAAAACGATCCGCCTATATTCATCTTTCATAGATTCTGACATACTGTATTACCCAAGAAATTCCACAGAGCTGCATGTCTCAGTTTGCTGGAAGACAGTTACCAACACCTGCATGGCAGGTTTTCACAATACCTGCAAAGTGGAAATACCCACTAATAGTAAGTTAGATAAGTCCGTGGTTATAGTCCCATGAGAATGAATGATCTACTGCCATATGCAAAAATTCATATGCAAAAATTTGCATGAATCTCATTGTTGGTAGAAATGAGCCAAACTCAAGACTGTATCATATGGTTTT